CAGCTCAGTCTCTCCGTCGATGATCGGAGAAACGGTGAGCTCATCAATCTCGATGACCAGATCGTTGGCTTCCGAGGTAGCGAAGACGGAAACCTTGGTAGAGCGGGCCTCGGCGGGGAAGTCAGCCTTGCAGTACGCCTTAAGAGTACTGCCGGCCTCCTTGGTGAGGGTGGTGATATCGCGAGAAATGGACATGCGACCGATGGAAGAAGGGAGGTAGACAGTGTTGATGTCAGTGCGGCCAGCGCCGAGGATGGGCCAGTACATCTCAATGACCGACTCCAAAAAGGTAGGGTGGAGAACAGAGCTGGTCTGGTAGTGGTTGGGCATATCGGCCGCAACATCGAAGGACGAAATGATACCAGTGGAGTACTTGTTCGACGCCTTGCAGTCCTTAATGCACTGGAAAGAGGGTCCGTAGCCAACACCAAGCTCAGTCAAGCGGTCGTACATGTCGTTCTCGGCGACAGCAACAGAGTCAGGTCCCTCGCTGGCCTTCATGGTAGCCTCAGCTCCGCGAAGGGCGGCAAGTTTCTGCTCTTTGCCATCAACCTCATTGGTCTCAGTGCCGTGGAGAGCGATGAGACCAACGCAGTGCTCCGTCCAACCACTGCCGTGCGACCAAGAGCAAATACGGAATTCCTTCCAGGTCTCGGAGGCAGTCAGATTGGTCTCCTGGTGAGGGCGCAGATTGATGGTCATCTCGACATCAGCATCGTGCAGAGCCAACGGCTTGACGACGGACACATCTCGCAACTCGTACTTCTCGAATGAGATCTCCTTGCGCTGAGCCCACTGAGCGGAAGCCTCCAAAGCCATGCCGATGAAGGCAGAGATGGGGAAGATTGTCACCGACTGAATCGCGTGGTGGCGAAGCCAAGGAAGGTCATCCAAGTGAACAATGTTTCTCCACGTTGGCTCGAGATCGCTGGAGTAGATGGCCTCCAGACCGATCAAGTCGTTTCTGGGCGACTTGCGGTACTTGTGCATCTGAGTCATGCGGGACTCTTGCCAGTATTTGTTCTGATAGTTCCAGGCATAGCGGGGAAGATCAGTCAACAAAGACGGCTTCTTCTTCAGGTTGGGGAAGTTGACATTGTCCATGTTGAGAATGGCACCCTTGGTAATGAGGTTGCATGCCAGGTCCATTGCAGACTCGACGGCATCCTTCTTACGGACAAGGGGAGAGGCATAAGGCACCTTCATGGCGGCCTCTCCGACGTGCTTCAGGATCTGCTTGATGGGACCCTGGAGAGCAGAGTGGGGACCCAACTCGATGATCATGTTGACACCAGTCTTGTGCTCGCCAACAGGCTCCAACATGGTCTCGAGAGCCTCGGAGAAGCGCACAGGGCAGGTCAGGTTGTTGACCCAGTAATGTGCCTGGCACTCGAAGCCGTCGATCTGGTGTCCGTAGAGAGAAGAGTGGAAGCGGACATCGGTAGTCTGAGGGTGAGGGAGCTCAGAGATGGACTCGCGGTATTCCTTAGCGACAAGGTTCATGTGGTGCGAGTGGTAAGCAGTCTCGACTTGCAGGCGTCTGTTGAACATCTGCTTATCCTCGAGATTCTTCTCCAGCTCGCCGAGGGCTGCAGAATCACCAGAGATGGTCAAGCTGGAGGGACTGTTGTAGCAAGCAATTCTGACCTGTTGCTGCTTGAGAGCGTCGATCATGGGCTGGACTTCCTCCTTGGTTCCGCCAACGGCCATCATAGCTCCCTGGAGATCAGGGTTTCTCTGCTTCAGGATGGGGATGAGCCGGCCTCTGTGGTAGGCAATGGCCATAGCGGCCTCGAAGCCAATAATACCCGCAGCGTATGCGGCACCGATTTCACCAGATGAGTGACCAGCGACAGCCGCGGGGCGGATACCCCATGTGCGCAGGAGGTCAGTCAGTGCAAGCTGGACAGCACTGCAAGCCGGCTGAGAGATATGAGCCTCGGAAACCTTTGAAGACTCTTGATCCTTGCTGAGCTCCTCGATGAGTGACCACTCAGCACCCAACTTTCTCAGACACTCATCGGCTCTGTCGATGGCGGCAGTGTAGATAGGGTACTGGCCATACAATTCGCGACCCATGCCCCACCACTGAGCACCCTGACCGGTGAAGACGAAACCGATTCTCAGTGGCTCGGATTCCTTGCCGGGAATGACCTTGCCACTGTTGAGGGTCTCGATAAGTTCGAAGGAATCAGTTGCGGGAATAGCAACCCTCCATGGGAGCATGGAGCGGCGCGAGCCAAGAGTGTATGCGATGTTGTCCATGAGATCATTCTGGAAAATCTCAGGTCTCTGCTCAAGGTAGACAACAAGGTTCTTCATGACAGCACCGACAGAGTTCTTGTCGTTGGCAGACAAGACGTAGATCTTCTTGGTGCTCTTGGTCTTCTTGTTGTCGGGAGGAGGAAGGTTCTTGCTGTCCTTCTTGGGAGCGCCGGTGTGGGGCGCCTTCTCGAGAACAACGTGTGCGTTGGTGCCACCGAATCCGAAGTTGTTGACACTGATGTACTTCTTGTTCTTGGGGAAGGGCCTTTGGGTGGCAGGGACCTTCATGTTCCACTCCTTCCACGGAATCTTCTCATTGGGCTTCTTGAAGTCGTGGTTGGGGAGGAGGAATCCTCTCTCCAGCATCATGGTTGCCTTGATGATACCAGCAATACCAGACGCCGCTTCCAAGTGACCGATGTTCGACTTGACTGAGCCAATGAACAAGGGATCCTTAGTTGATCTGTTCTGGCCAATGACATTGTGAATGGCAGTGGCCTCAATCGGATCACCGACCTTGGTACCAGTGCCGTGGGCCTCGACGTAACCGCAGTCGTTGGGGTCAAGACCTGCGTTTCTGTAGATCTGCCTCATGAGCTTCTCTGTACAGGTTGTCAGTGAATGGTTTCATGAAAAACTGGATACAATGTTGCATACCCTGTGCTGCGCCACTGGGCATAGTAATACCAGGCGTCTTGCCATCCTGGTTGATGCCAGTGCCTCTGATGACGGCTCGGATTGAGTCATTATCTCTAATAGCCTGATCGAGGGGCTTCAGAATGATCATGCCACAACCTTCACCACGGCCGAAACCGGTACCGCGCTGGTCAAAGGCGATAGATCGGCCAGAGTCCGCGAGCAATCTACAGTCATTATGTCAGTACCGAAGAAACAGCGCGATGAAAAGCACACGAGCGTGCAGCGCGTGCTTACCTGCAAGAAGAGAAGGAAATCCAAAACTCAGGCAGCATGTTCAGATGGCAACCACCAACAATCGCTGAGGTTGACTCGCCTGCACGCAAACTCTGGCACGCCAAGTGGAGGGCGACCAAACTTGCTGAGCAAGCTGTGTCTGCTGTGAAACTCGGTCCCCTGAGATCGAAGAAATGTGAGAGTCTGTTGGACTGCATCGCATGGGCACATCCTAAACGGTATATTAGCGCAATTAAACGTCCGGGGTACAGGGATTATCCTCATACCTGTGGCCTGGTGCATGGGGATCGTGTCACTGTCCCTGAACAAGTGACTCTCGTACTCGGCGAAGCTGCCGCCGACAAAGACACCGACGTCTTTTCCAACAATCGTGTGCTTGGGAATACCGGCATTCTCGAGAGCCTCGAATGTGCACTCAAGCAGAAGACGCTGCTGGGGATCCATGGAGATGGCCTCCTTCTCTGTCAAACCGAAGAAAGGGGCATCGAACGACGCCAGGTCGACGTCCAAGAAGTTGCCACCCTCTGCGTGGTAAGCTCCAGTCTTGCCCGGGTTCGGGTGGTAGAATGCCTCATGGTTGAAGCGCTCCTTGGGCACGGGAGTGAAGCCGGTTCTGGCGCGGGAGCACAGCTCCCAGAACTCGGCGGGGCTGGAGACGCTGCCGGGCATGCGGCAGGCCATACCGACGATGGCGATGGGCATCTGCTTCAAGCCAGCGTCGCTGCCGCCGACGGGGTTGGTGTAGCCCTGGCTCGTCGCATGAGCACTGGCGCTACCGTTCGAGTGGCCATTGGAGTGACCGTTTGTTGATTGTCCGTGGATGTTGAGGCCGACACCATCTAGGGGCCCCACGGACAGGCTAGTGAAGCCATCGGATGTGGTATCGGAGTGATCGATCGGGGTCATCATGACAGGACTTGCCGAAGGCGATGTCCCCGATGAGGAGTAGGACAGCACGCCGGGCGCCATGGTGAAGGGTGGAGGAGGGGGATTGGCGGAAGCCGCTTGTAAGTGTCGAATCTATTCGGCAAGCATTCGTCGAAAGCAACGAAGAAAGTGACAGCGAAGATTCCGGCGCTCTAGGCGTTCCTTACAATGATCAAAAGAAGAGAAGAATGCGGATGAGGAGGAGGAAGAAAACGAAGGGCGGACTGCGTGTGCTCTAGATAGAAGACTTGGGGCTTGGAAGAGGGCAGGCCGGATTGATATGGAAGTACGTACCAAGCCTCGTTGAGATGAGTGAGTGTGACGAAACTTCTTTCCTGGTCCTGGTTGGGATTCTTTGTAGGGTTTTTAGCTGATCAACGGCCATGGGGAAATATCACACTTGATGGTGCTCGCTCCGTCGCGAATAGGTTGACATGGAGGGGACTGGTTGGTGATCAGATCGCCAAGTCGGCCGGAGTTCCTCGCACAGACTAGCCTGTGTGATTTAGATTTGCCTGACGGTTAGGTAGATCATAGGGAAATCCCGAACGTGCATACTGGGCGCATGCCAGGAACGAAGATGGACCATTACGGAGAGGTGCCAGGGCACATCCGATGCCGGGTTGCCCATGTCGACCCGGAGCAGCGGAGCAGCGGCAGTCCCTGCTAACCACGACGTCGCCTCCCCCAGATTCGCCAGGGAGGACTGGTCAGCATCAGCACGAGGGATGTGACCCAGTGGCGGCCGAGGCGAGAAGCTTGTACCATGTCTATGGTTAATCTGGCCAAAAGCAAGTTCTCATGAACTGATTATGCGTAATGTGTGGGCAAATTGGTATATCCGTTCGTCATATTCGAGCATCACTGGAGAAGGATTAGGGATAAGCGGTCCATTGAGCGGCGAGAAGCAGTGCCGGCGGTTCAGTGGTCCAAGGGCGTGTTTCCACGTCCAATCGGTCATTTTGATTCGGAGACATGATCAACTGCAAGGCGGTTTGCCCTTGATTTGCTGGGTGCTGAATGGCACGAGGAGGTGCCTTAGTTTGTTTGCAGTTGAGCGGCACTGCCAGGTTGGTATGCAGTTCCTTGCAGAATGCAGAAGCCGGACGTTTGACTCGGACCAAGACATGGAAGCGCAATGAACACTCGAACCTCCCGGACGGGGGCCCGGTGGCGTGGTTCGGAGGTGAGGTGGTGAAGTCGTCGTCGACGTCGAGGGGAGTTGCCATGGTGTCTGCAGTGCTGCACCGGTACGCCGCACTAAACGGCTGGGGGCTCTCTTGGGGGTGGATCACTCCACTGGAGCATTGGACCATGAAGCAGCAGCAACGGCGAGCTGGGACATCAGGAGGTGGAGCAGCAGCATTGGAAGCAGCAAAGCCAAGCATAGCACGGCATGGCAACGCAGCACGCAATGTGCTCCGTGGACCTGGGAGACGAGGTCATTGCGGCGGTGGTCCCGACTCGGCCTAGCGGGCCGGAGTGGAGAACTTTGTTCCTGGTTATGTAAGCACTGTACGCCGCCATGATTGGCTCCCGGAGACTCAAGGAGGCTCATGGACTCGAGGAGGCTCTGTGAGGATTTTCCTTTGGGAGCGTGGGGAGCCATTTTGCGGCCGATGTCTGGAAGTTGCCGCTGCAGTGGCGACCCAGTAATCCAGTTCCAAGGGAGAACAAGAAGGATGGGATCCTGCAGCTTCTGGCTCCAGACTGACCATCTCGCCATCCCACTGAACGAGAAACACACAAAGAGACACTGAGAAGGAGGCAGAGCAGCTCTGAAAGCTGCCCGTAGAAGAGATGATGGGGCGGAGTGCATATTTCCCCCCATCTCCAGGCATCCGTCTGGTCCTATTTGCTGGGATTATCTGCGGGTTTTGTGGACTCTGCAGGACATTTTGCTGGAGAAACCCAACGTGGCGGAGCTTGTTTCTTCATCTGCTCTCATGTTTGGTTGGTCTGGTCATCGGCGCTCGTTTGTTGTTCGGTTTGGAAAAGAGTGTGTCTTGTGTCAAAAGCACCGACATTCGTGATAGCAGCGGCGGAGGTTGTCGAGGCGTTGCGCCTTGCGTCTGTTCTCTGCCCACTTTCGTCCCGATGACATGGTCAGGACCAGGGCAAAGGCCTATCGCATCACGCACATCAAGACCCTCAGCCAAGGTATGCGGTGCCGGTTCATGTACAGATGAATAAGAAATTAATCACGACCGTTCCAACGTTCTGTCTTACTGTAAGACAGCCCGACGAATGGGATTGAGTGGGCACCCAGCAGCAGCAGCAGCAGCAACAGCAGTATCCGTAACTGCACCTGCAATAATATCCGGCGGGCGAGACATCTGGGGAGAGAAGGAGGAAGAAAGCAGGGGTTGGCGGTACAGAGAAACGCGGCGGCAGATCCAAGCTGCAGAGAGTTCGCAGTGATTGCAGGTGGGAAATGCAGCCTTCGAACGGCACCATATGCAGGTGCTGGTGCAGGATCCCGAAAAAGGAATAGTCGGATCTATCGCCCGAATTGGCTTACCTTGGCTTTTTTTCGCCTGACCTGGCGATTAGGACTTGGGAGAAACGAGAGATGATGATTGAGAGGATGAAGTCAACGTAAGGTCGCGTCAGGTTGCACCGCATATGGCAATATCCACCTTATCGACTTATCGACCTATCGCATCTACCCTCCTTATCGTACTACGCTGTCTAAGACATTGTTCTGCTTACCCGTTTCCCTAGTCCACTCGTACCTCAGCCCAACTCCCTTAAACATTTCCACATCTCTCAGACACAACTAATTACACATCATCCTTCTCGACAAGGACAATAGTAACCGCTACTCCATCGAGTCAAGAGAGTTCGGTCTCGCATTCAATCTTCGACTCCCTATCCTAGCTCTACTCGTTGTCACTGGCAGAGAACCCAAGGCATGAAGGGTGTTTCTAAAACTGCTTCTGTCAGAAAGCTTTGGCAGCTTCCAAATCACAAGCGCGCCCTCCGTCGCACCTCCTTCCCGTGCCGTTGCACCATCAAAGCTCTTATTTGACACGCGCCAGCCACACTAGAGGCCTTGTCCCTGTAGCGCACCCGATTTGCGCAGGTAGTAATAGTCTGGCTCTACAGTCAACCTCAAGAAGGTACATCGGACATTGCTGCGCTGTAGTACGCTTCGTTTGTCAATGTGTACCCGAGTCCTGCCCACACTCGCTCACCACCCTGCGCGGTGCTCACTCACACAAGGATCACACACGAGAACTCTCATCCCCCCAATGTGTCCTGTTTCATCCCAGCCCATCTAACCACATCCCGTCAAGTCGTTCTGCAAGTCAGCGAACGGCCGTGTTCCAAGGAAACGCATCTTTGCAAAACAATGTTTCCTTCTCTGCAAACACACACACACGCGCCTACCGTGGACGCCGCTCACTCACTCATCCCCCAGCCACTCAATCGCCCAATTTCTCTCACCCGCCTTCATCCACGCTCACTCTCCGATATGTACGCACAAGCAAATTCTCATAATCTCACAATCCCACAATCCCACTCGAGCCCATCATACTCTTCAGCACACTTTCTGACTATCCCACCCATCCCGCTCTGCTCATCTCCTCGCCCGTTCCAGTCAGATAGACGAGACTGTCATACCCACACTGCGCCCCCGCGCGGGCACTTCCTTATCCCGTTTCAAGCTTACAAGGTGACAAGAGCCGGACCGAAGTCCAGCCCAAAGTAGTCCACCTCAGAGCCAACATGTCATCAGTTGCACCAGTGCATCACCAGCGCGTCGACCGAGGGTTCGGATCTCGGGATTCCCAGAGGCTGACTGGCAGCCTGCCACGCCTATCAGACTATCTGCCAAGTGTCTTGCCTCTCTGCAAAGAAGCCCACTGGCAGGCATTCCTCAATTCCTTCCATGTGGCGCGGCGTCTCGTCGCGCTTGTTTCGCCTCCATGTCTTGAGTCGCCCATTCACTAACATCGTCTATCCTCGTCCAGTTTTCCTCGACCGAGGACCGGGACACCCTGCCAAGCCGGTCTCAGGACCGATACTCACAGGCCCGGTCTCACATCACCTCATCATTCCAACCCTTTCAGTGAAGCACTCATCCACACATCAGCCGCTGGCCCAGTATCCGCTCCAGCTCCCACGCTCCCAGCAGACAGCCCAAACCAACCCGTTGTTCGGGCTGGTCCCATCATTCAACGGCAGGTACCGACAAAACAACTCATCGCCTCAATCTTGATGAGGTGCAGAGTTTCACAAGTTCCTTATTCGTTCCGGGTCACGGTCGATTTGAGTTGTCATTCTAAGCCTGGGACTGGGTCAACTCAGCCGCCTCCTGTGTCTTGCCGTCGTCCCGCCTCAACTGCTGCGCCGTCTCATTACCTGTCTGAGCTGATGATTTTGTCGTGGGTCGATTACCGCGCAGCATATCACAAGTGTTTCTTTAGATAGCTTCGAATTGATTAAAACGCTCCTGTTGGCCGGGCCATCCTCATCGAATTATCTCATCTCCACACCTCGCTGAATCATCATCCACAATCATCAATATTCTCAAACCACTTCATCACAAATACTCTCGCGTCCACTTTCCAGCTTCCCGCTTTTTGACACTTCACTTGTCATTGGACGATCGGTCTCGCTCGGTTCCGCTCTCACATCTCACGCTAACCCATACCAATATTCACCATGTTGCGCTTCTTGTGCCTTCCCGGTGCCTACGGCAGCTCGGACGTGAGTACTCAGACCTATTGATGCCATCTTGGACGTATCACTAACATACACTAGAAATTCCAAGTTCAACTTGGTGAGTTCTCTCTCCTGCAGTCGAGCCACTATGGACTTGTCGTGAGCAGCTTCAATCTTGAGACTCTGCTACTAACACTTTGTTTTAGCTCCCATCTTGAAGGAGCTTACTGAGGATGGTACGGCGCAGTTCCACTTCATCCATGGACCTTGCAAGGCCGTTCCGCCTCCGGGATTTGAGGATTACTTCGGAGCTCCTCCCTACTACCGCTTTATCGAGCCCGATAGGGATGTTGAGAAGTCCCACAGCGACGATGTCCTTATGCGCATTCGTGACTTCCCCGACTGCGAGACCCCCGAGGACACGATGAGAGAGCTCATGAGAGAGGGTATCGCAACCACCCACCGCAGCACCGACAGAGCCATCAAGTTCCTTGCCGACATTGTCGCGAAGCGCGGCCCCTTTGACGGCATCATTGGCTACTCCGAGGGCGCCACCGTGGCATCCACCTTTATGCTTTACGAGCAGCGCCGCCTCAAGCGCTCCGGCATCAAGCCGGCGTTCAAGTACGGCATCTTCTTTGCTGGCTGGCCTCCGGTCGACCCCAAGACCCACGCCCTGGTCCTCTCCGACGAGAGCGAAGAGCGCATCGAGGCCCGCACCTTGCACATCAGTAAGTCAAACATTCGCATTGCTTCAATGCTGCTTATCCGGAGGAATGCTGATGATCCTCTTCCTTTCAGTCGGATCCTTGGATCCTTATGTCGATGGTTCTATGGCTCTGTACAACATGTGCGATCCTGACACTGCGTATCTCTTCGATCACGCCAAGGGCCACACCCTACCCCGTGACAAGGATACCATCAAGGAGCTTGGCGACATCATCCGTGAGACCCAGGCTGACATGCAAGAAGAGGGTCTTCTGTCGTAAGGATGGGGTTGTGTGGGGGAAGGGTGGTCCCAGTTGAGGGAATATCCCCGGATAATCAGCATCGATTGTCGTTTTTGGATTTTTGGTTTTTTTTTTTTTGGATTTATGGACGGGGCAAGGAGGTACAGCAAAGGGACTGGTTCCTTCCTCGTATCAGCATTAGAGATAGACGGGTGTTTGGCATGCCGCATATCCTGGAGCCTGCTGGAGTCGGGTATTATGGTTATTTGGGTTTTCTCGCATTGGTTTTTGGTTTTCCTGGCTTTATGGATTTTCAAATCATGTTTCTTGCCACCAACTCCTTCAAGGGGGTTTTGGATGGGTTAGTAGTTAACTAGGCCAGACGGGAGCAGCTAGAAATTCTAGATGGCGTTGCCAGAACATTTGACAGGAGTTCCCATCACGGGACCGTCAATATGTCAAATGTGACTGATAGACTGGCTAGAGCTTGAGGCGCATAAATGCATGATCCGGCGGAAACGACATCCGTAGAGTCTACAGTCTTGTTCTTTTGTCATGATGGGGTAGGGTGAGATAGGTAAGATATGGATCTGTCAACTAGCCTTTGGAGTGAAGATGTCAAATACTCCATGTGCCAGAAATACATATCGTGGATACACATGTTCCTAAACACAAACATGGGCAGAGAAAATGCGTTGGGCAAAAAATAAAAACGTTCCCTTCACGTGTATCCTCGGGATCGTATCCCCTGGCTTGCCTGCCTTCCGGCCGGCCAATCCATGCCGCTCATCTGCGAACCATCGACACCACTTCCCATGACTTGTAAAACAAAAGATGAAATCTCTCCATCAGATTGCCCTTCTAGGCATTGATCGTCAGAGATTGGCGACACATGGAGAGATTGAAAGGGTGATGAAGGGTAGGGATGGGTAAGGATGAGGAGGGGGGGTTGGGTGCAATACCTGTCTTGGATCGCAAAGCGTGCGTTTCCTGGCTTTGCCCCAGACCACTCTGGGACGAGCCGGAAGGTGATCCATCCTTCCGCACGGGCGATCCCAGATAGCCCCTCAACCTGCATATGCGGGTATGAGAAAATGGTACCCGTATCCCGTAGTTATTTCGCACTCTAAGCATTGCGCTTTGGATGTAAAGCTTTGACACGGAAAAAGTACGAGGTGAGCGAGAAGACGTACGGAAGTACCTGCGAAAAGAAGCGGCAAAACTGGAGCATCGCACCCAAGACAAAGAGAAGAGTCCCCAGCAAAAGAGAACAAGAACACATGCTCCCCGTTTCATCTTGACATCACACGGGTAGAGAGAAGAAACCACGTCCGTTCCCTTACTCGTTTCCGCTTTCCCCCCTCCAAGACCGATCTGAGCTTACCCTCACACACTCTCAGCCATCTTTGCCTCCATTCCTTCCATGGGCCTTCCTCTCCTACACGCTCTGCCCTCTGGGTCTGGGTTTCCCTTCCCTATTGAGTTCCACTTGGGCGTTTCTTACGTTGAATCATCAATTTAGACTTGTCTTTGCTGCCCAGGCGCCTCCCCTCTCAGCCCCAAGGCATCAACCACCTGCTCTCTCTCCAAGAAAGGCACCTACCTACTTTCTTTCTCTCTCTTCCGTCTCCAAATCCATCCCATCTATCCCACCAAGCAATCTCACAATCCTCGTCCCCAAACAACTCTCTCGGCGCTGGGTCGATTTCGCTGTTTCGAACCGCGATGCGGAATCAACACAGCCCTTCCATCACCCAGGTGGCCCGTTGACAACCTTAGTGGTTACATGTGCCGTTCCCTCCATTTCACAGCGATACCCCCCCATCCCCCGATTTCCCCTTTCCAAACCCTTGCCCTGTTCTCCCCCTTCCCCTCCCCTCCCCTCCTGCTCGAGTTTTGGCTGTGGTTTCTTCCAAAGTCCCATCTGCGATTTGGCAACTTTTCCAACCCCTGGATCCTGGCAAGTCGCCTGCTTGTTCTTTCTCAATTGTTACAAACTGCCGCGGGACGACAAAATACGCCACCTTCAAATCTCAGAGGCAGCACATTTTGGCATTTGACAAATCTTGCCTCGATTTTGGTATCGAACATCGCATAAGGACACGAACATTTAGTCAAAGTATACTGAATCTACCACTTAAGCAAGCCCCCTCCACACGCCGATCCCTGGTCAGTTACCACATGGCCCGGGCCTCCACATAGCTTGCAACCCAAACACCATCTGCCGCCGGACTCGGTACCCGATTGCCCATCCCGGTGTACTAGACCCACTCCACCACCCGAACCCACCATGGCCACGCCGGTCGGCGCCGCTGATGCGGCAGCTCCGGCTGCGGCCAACGGGGCCGCGGGAGCCCCCGCCAATCCCGGTTCCACCCCAGCGGAACCCAAGAAGCCCTGGTACAAGCTCAACGCCAAGACGTTGTTGACGATACGCAACTTTTTTGTATGTTCGATTGATTGCAGCGCCTGGTCGCCATCATGGTCTCGCTGTCCTGTTCTCTACTAATTCGCGCTACAGAAAATCTTCCACTATGGAACATTACTCGATAAGTTCATCATAGTAGGGTCCATCTTTGGTGCCATTGGTGCTGGCCTTACTATGCCGGTGATGAACATTGTCTTTGGTCAGTGCATCTTCCCACGCAGGACTATACCGGGTTACTAACATGTCTAGGACAACTCGTCGGCACCTTTACCGGGTTCTTCATGCAAGGGACATCAGAGACACAAGACGACTTTGAGAAGGCAGTCAACCAAGGAGTGTAAGTCTCCAACATGCATCTGAATTTGGCTTCATGTGACTGATACTTGAACAGATTATACATCGTCTATCTCTTCATCGCCAGACTCATCCTGACGTACCTCTCCAATGTGAGTACTACAATTACAGGGACTTTGCGTCAACTAACACACGACTAGCTCGGCTTCCGCATGACGAGTCTTCGCATCTCAGCGAAGATCCGCTTGCATTATCTGCGATGCCTGTTCGGTCTCCCAATCTCAATGCTGGACATGCTGGCGCCTGGTCAGACAGCCGCCATCATCACCATCACGGCCAGCATTTTGCAGCTGGGTATTTCCGAGAAGATGGGACAGTTCTTCTCCAGTCTTGCTGTCGTTATCGCTGGTTTCACCATTGCCTTCGCCTACAACTGGCTTCTCACGCTCACGACGAGCTCCGGACTGGTTTTCATCGCCATCGTCTACGCCATCACCACGCCGCCAATCATCAAGAGGCTGAAGGATGTCCAGGACATGGATATTCAGGCCGCCTCCGTCGCGACCGAGGCGTTCAGCTCAATTCGAATGCTCGCTGCGTGTGGCGCCGAGTTCAAGCTACTTGCGAAGTACGGACTCTTGGCGGATCAATCAAGGAAGAGGGGTGCTGGCATGGCTTGGCTCATTGCTATTCAGCAAGGATTAAGTGAGTTGCCACGACTTCGTTGATAGAGTTGCTCCATGCTAACATTTCAAAGTTTTTTTCGCCATCTACGCGTAAGGATTTGATCCAGCGGACATTTCAGCTCGTCAGCTAACTCTTTTTAGAACCTTTGCCCTGTCATTTTGGTACGCTTTCCAGATGTACACCATGATGGCTCTGACGACTCCCACATCCTTGATCGTGTAAGTAAACTCATCCCTCAGGATCAACCTCGATCAGCTCATCCGAAATATAGTGTTCTGCTTTGCATCATGATGATGGCATCCTCCTTAGGTCAGATTACCGCGCCACTTCAGTCGGCATCGCAGGCCGCCGATGCCAACGCCATCTTCCACACCATCATCGACGCTCCCAAGGCCACGTACGGGACGCTCAAGGCGCCCGAAGTCTCAGCCGCCGAAGATATTGTCTTCCAGGCTGTCAACTTCGTGTACCCTAAGCGTCCCGATGTCAAGATTCTGGACAACCTGTTCCTCAAGTTCCCAGCCGGTAAAGTCACTGCTATTGTGGGTCCCTCGGGGTCCGGAAAGAGTACAATCGTCGGAATCTTGGAGAGATGGTACGAATTCAATGGTGACATGCAAACCAACCAGCTGGTAAGTTATCTCCCGCTTGTAGTTCAACTCTTGCGACGTTGATTGACATCATTGCTAGGTTCTCTGGCTCCGCAACGGTATCATCAGTGTCGGCGGCCGGTTACTGAGCGAGATCGATCCCAAGTGGTGGCGTAGCCAAATCGGCTTGGTCCAGCAAGACAACGCCCTCTTCAACACCACCATTTTCAAGAATGTCGAATACGGTCTCATCGGAACAGAGTGGGAGCACAAGTCCCAGGCAGTCAAGGCAAGGTTGATCGAGGAGGCATGCAAGGATGCCTACGCCGACGAATTCATCTCACGCTTGCCCGAGGTACAGCTTTCCGAATGGCCCTCGCATGAGATTTTCAGGATGCTAACACACCCCAGGGATACCAAACCGAAGTCGGCGATGCCGGTATTAAGCTTAGTGGTGGCCAGCGCCAGCGTCTCGCAATTGCCCGTGCCATCGTCAAACAGCCCAAGATCCTCATCCTCGACGAGGCCACCTCCGCCATCGATGTCCGCAGCGAACAAATCGTGCAGGCCGCTCTCGACCGCGCATGTAAGGGACGCACAACCATCATTATTGCCCATCGCCTCGGAACCATCAAAAAGGCCGACAGCATCATCCTTCTTCGCAAGGGCCAGGTCGTCCAACAGGGTACGCACGAGGAGCTCATGGCCCAAGTCGACGGTCCCTATTTCCTGCTGGCCACTGCACAGAAGCTTGACATGGGAGTCGAGGAGGAAGAGGACGTTCTGTTTGGCGACCTCAGCTGGAGACGGCCTGAGCCTGAGCGTCTTTCTGTTCACAAGTCGCTTCAGGGTGGTAGCAGTACCGGCGATCTCACTGAGAAGCGACCCAGCAGCGAGGGTACTTCCACTGGCATGCTCCAGCATCTTCACGAGATCAATGGTTCCGATGAGGAACTCGAGCGCATCGAAGCCGGTAGCTTGAGGGTTGTCAAGGAGCCGAGAGGATGCTTGGGTCGATGGAAGGCTTTCCACATGTTCGGAAGTTTTGGTCAGTTGCTCGGTGAGCAGAAGAAGAGATGGAAGACCTACATCATCATCGCGTTTGCAGCACTCGGTGCTGGAGGTAAGCACCCTTCCAAACCCATTCCCCACCGTCCGGCTAGAGTCGAGTTCCTGACATTATCTACAGCGAGTACACCCGTCCAAGCCTACCTGTTTGCGGTTCTGGTCTCACTATTCTCATACTGGGGCAACTTCCTGAGGGTCATCGCCAACCATTGGTGTGAAATGTTCATGTACCTTGCCACGGGCGTGGGAATCAGTCATTTCCTGCTTGGCTGGGCTACCACCACCATCGGATTCGTAAGTTGCTTGTTCGTTCTTATTGAAACTTGTCTAACAATGCACCAGGGTATCGTCCGCGTATACCGCAAGGAGTACTTCCGCAACATCATCTACAAGCCTTCATCATTCTTCGATGCCGAGGGCAACTCCGCCGGTTCCCTGACCGCCCGCCTCGCCACCGATCCCACCATGCTCCAGCAGCTGCTGGGAACAAACATGGCCTTCGTTCTCATCTCGCTCTTCAACGTCATCGGCTGCGTCGTCGTCGGTCTCGTCTTTGGCTGGAAGCTGACCCTCGTCGCCCTCGGCACATCCATGCCTATTATTGTGGCAGCCATGTTCTACCGTGTGAGGCATGAGACCAGCTTTGAGACTGCCAATAATGCTGTCTTCGCCGAGAGCGCCAAGTTTGCGTCTGAGAGTATCAGCGCGATTCGCACCGTTTCTAGTCTTACGATGGAGGAAGGAATCTGCGACCGCTACGATACGTTGCTCAGTGATCATATCAAGGACGCTTTCCGCAAATCTCGCTTTTCTGTCATGGTCTTTTCTTTCAGCGATAGTATTTCGTTGCTCTGCATGGCTTTCGTGCTTTGGTAAGTGACACTAGATACGATTTCCGACATTTGACACTGACTCCTTCTAGGTACGGTGGCAAGCTGCTTTCTAGGCACGAGTACACGCCCTTCCAGTACAGTGAGTATCGACGACCTAACATGGTCGACTATTTACTGACAGTCCACAGTGGTCGTCTACATTGCAGTAGTTCAAGGTGGCATGAGCGCCGGTCAATGGCTCAGCTTTGGTCCCAGTACGTCCCCCGCTACTTTCCAGGCATGAACGCACCTGACAGTCAAATAGACATCGCAAAAGCAAAGACCGCAGCCGACCGCATTCTAGCTCTCCGCGAGAACGAAGACGACGACAACCAACCCCAAAAGGGCGTCAGCGACATCGTCCCTTACGAAGTCCACTACGAAAAGGGCGTCGAGATCGAATTCAAGGATGTCTGGTTCAGCTACCCCACCAGAACGCTCCCCGTCCTCAAGGGCCTAGACCTGAGAATCGAGCGAGGCCAGTTCGCCGCCATCGTCGGTCCCTCGGGCTCCGGCAAGACAACAATCATCTCCCTCCTCGAGCGCTTCTACACCCTCCAGGCCGGCGGCGAGATCCTCTACAACGGACACGACATCAAGACGCTGGACCTCGTAAACTACCGCAAGAACATCTCGCTCGTCTCCCAGGAGCCCAATCTCTTCACTGGTTCGATTCGTGAGAACATCTTGCTCGGTATTGAGGATGAAGATGCTGTGTCGGACGAGGCTGTCCACGCCGCGGCGCGCGACGCAGGTATCCACGACTTCATCATCTCGTTACCCGAGGGCTACAACACCCAGGTCGGCAACGCGGGCGTGACACTCTCCGGAGGCCAGAAGCAGCGTGTATCTATCGCGAGAGCGCTCATCCGTCGGCCGTCACTGTTGTTGCTCGACGAGGCGACGAGTGCGCTCGACAGCGAGACGGAACGCGGCGTCCAGGCCGTGTTTGACGCCACCAAGGGTAGCCGGACGATGATCATGGTCGCTCACAGGCTTGCGACTGTGCAGAATGCCGATGTCATCTTCGTCATGCAGGACGGTAAAGTCGTTGAGCGGGGTGATCACGCGAGTTTGATTGCCGAGAAGGGCATTTACTTCCAGATGGTCAGTCTTCTCCCTGTTTCCCTGCTCCACCGAAGCCACTGCACGGCAGTCTCTGGTATTCCCAAAGGCCCTTGAACATCGACTAACTTTCAATAGTGTCAATCACAAGCATTGGATAAATAAAATCCAAAGTATTCACTCTCTCTATCTAGGGTTTAGACAAACAAGAGGGGGAATGTGGTAAAGGCGTCAGAGAAAGATTGTGTACAACTAACATCAATACCACGGGGTCTTTTTTGCGAATTACTTCATCACAAAGTGCATCTTCACCACTTACTTGTTTTACTCTCAATGTCATTAACTTTGTATGCTATCTCGTTTGCATTTTAGATATAGCTTTATTAAAGTTTGGAAAATTTCTCTATTCAATACGATGATTGATCATTTCGAGTCGCGGTCATGGGATAGTAAGCATCCACCACACTCCCCCGACGCCTCAATCAGGTCTTTGCAACTTCAACCCGTAAGCATCGGGTCACTGAGCAGTCCTCACATGTCACCAGAATAACAACCTCAGTAATGAAAACGTTCAACGCTTTTTCATATTTCAATTCTATTTTACACATTCTTCTAGAAACTGTAACTTTTCCCCATTGAAGCCCTTTTTCTTCTTTTCTCGGTGTCCGGGGGCCTCTGGAATCTGGGTTCTGGGTTCCCAGGCGTCAACACACAAACACAAATCGCATAACATGGACATTGAAAGAACAACACACAACATAACACCCCTCGGATACAACCGTAGACCCAGGAAACGTCGGATCCACGGCTTGTGACGGACACGGGGCGCGCCAAGTTCGCCAAGCACCCATCGTTCTCGTCGTTGTGGTCGTCGAGCGACCAAAAAGACAGACTCACAGGAACGCCCGTTCATCCCATTGTCGGTGGCCGACGGGAAACAGAACCCGGAGATGAGATACATTACATATACCTCGTCATAAAAACATCCGAACCCAAAACACACAACGAACCACGTCAAAACGTAGGGGCGACCCTTTCTTCGCTCTGCTCCATCACGCTCCTGAGCTTCAGCGCCCGGAGGGAGCTCGTGGATCTCTGCGGCACATGGCCAGCCGCTGCCCTACTGCCCCCCATGGCTCCAGCGCTGCCCATGCTCATGGTAGATCTCGAGCGTACTAGCCCGCCGCCCATGGCCTGGTGGTGATGGCTGGTTGAAGACATGGCAGCGGAGCCGCTGCGAGGTCTGGTGTTGAGACGGCTCATCATGGAGCTCAGGGCGCTTTGCGCGTCGACGGGATGATTGAGTGGCGGAGAGTGAGAGCCGATTACAGGGTAAGGAGCGGGTGAATTGGGACCCGAGGGTGGTCCTCCTCGGGTGAGCGATGCGCCACGAGGCCGATTCAGCTTGGATAGCAGCATCTCCGCTGTGGGCTTCCCGTGTGGTTGTTGACTAATACCATATGGGTGGTTGAATCGCGTTGGTGAGCGACTTGAGCCGCGGCTCGATGGTGGCGTCGGAAGTACCCTGTTCCCGTTGCCGTTGTTGCCATGCTTCCCGGAGAGCCTCAGGGCGTGTTCCGGGCCCAGACCTAGACCCAACATGGCGTCGCCTGCCATCTCTGGCGGTGAAAGCGGACCGCCGTGCTGGGACATCTCGAGCAGTGCGGCCCTCTGGATGTCCTCAAAGTTCATAGCAACAGCTGGCATCTTACTCAGCCTGCGGATGGCACGGCTATTCTTCTCAACGAAACTGTTCATGGCCCGCAGCGCGCCTGCGTTTTCGCGACTCGCGACCGCGCTGACATCGCCTGTGCTGCGACCTCGGGCCTGGTGCACAGCGTTGAGGGTCAGAGGCTGCTGCTGCTGCCCGTGGTAAGCAGGGGATGAGGCGTCATGGCCGCCTCCAGCATGTAAGCTGGACTGCACCTGCGCCATGACCCGGTCAAAGTCAATGTTCTGATTCGGGTTTGCTCTTGACATGTAATACGGCGCCGAGGTCGGCTGCTCCAGCATGCTCGGGTTGAGTTCCGCTTTGGTGGCGAGCACAAAGAGGCTTCCGTCGCGGATGCGGCGGCGGACGAGGGCCCAGCGGGTCCGGGCCGGGTTCTGTTCGAGCTTGGGCTGGTAGACGGAGCAGCGGGCAAGCTGGGCGTAGAAGACCTCGAGGTGACGGGCCATACGCTCGAGAACCTGGAGGAGGAACGTGGAAAGGGCAGTGAGGCGGGTGTTCTCAACATCAGGATCGGACGAGTCATTGATAGAGGTTGCGATGCTATCAAAAGCGTCCATGCCGGTGCATGCCTCCTGGCGGAGGTCTTCAAGAAGGGCAATATCGAGCTCGACGCTACGGGCGGCGTAGGCAAAGACACCGCGTTCTTGGAAGCGAAGTGAGGCGTCAGCGTCGCACACGAATTGACCGACGAGGGCGACCTCTTTGGTGCAGTGCGCCGCGTCTCCGCTTGTCTTTGAGCGCGCCACGGTGCCCAAGACGTCGGGTAGCTTTGTGTCAGCGGCCGGGCCATTGGCACTGGCGACACCGAACGATAATTTGAGGACGAGCTCTTGGAGCTTGTGGCCGAATAGAGCCGAGAAGCCGCCTTGAAGCAATCGACTCTGGTAACCATAAAACGTACGGACAGCAATAATGTTGGGCAGACTCTCGCGCAGCCAGATGTTGTTGCTTCCTGCAGGATCATGTGACGAGTTAGACTCGAGGGATGCGCCCATGATCTCGTACATCTCAAACTGATGGGCTACCAGAGTTTCAACGGTGGATCGGAGGTATGCCGACCAGAGATCGTGCAAAGCGGAGATCTCATCACTGCCGTAGTCAGGCTTGGGGGTCAAGTGCCCAACAAAGTATTTCGTCAAGAGACTAGAGACTTCAGGGTTGTTGGTGTGGGCGAGATTGTCGAATGACTTGGAACAGTCAACACCCGCGTTGGACTTGATGATGAGCGTTCCGCCGGGGTGCATGGGGCAGAAGTCGGTGACATCGTAGACACTGCCGTGTACCCCGATCCACATGCGAGAACCGGGGCGGTGACCTGTGTGCTTTGCCAATTCCGACAAGGGTATCGTCGGCAGGTTGCACGGCAGGGGCTTGGGCGTCATGAAAACATCGAGCATGAAGCGTCTCTCTGCAAAGGCCTTGTCGATAATCAGGTCGACTCCCTTTTCTGTGGCTGTTCTGTAGGTGTAAATTGCCTTCCTGATTCCATTCATAACGGAATCGAACACGGAGACGGAACCACAGACGTAGAGATAGCCGCCGAGACCTCCCTGCTTCTTAGACATGACAAGGTCGCAGACCTGCAGACCCTGCTCGACAATCAATGTGTCGATATAGCGAGGGGGGATGTGCTTCTCCACTAGATCTTGGCCCTCGTAAGCGAGACCACGAGAGTCCCGCGAGAAGGCGACGTGGACTTCCATGAAGTCTGCGTTGACGTACTGTCGCAGCTCCTCCTCGAAACAGAACTTTTCACGGTTCTGGACACCGAGGTAAAGAAGGTTCTTGCCACCAGACAGGCCGCTCTGTGTAAGACGAGCCTGCCAGAAACTGCGGAAGGGTGCGATGCCGCTCCCGCCGGCGAAGAAAGCACAGGGTGCCATGGGGTCAAGCGGGAGGTGGAAGGCTGCTGGGCGGGAGACGCCAATGAGGATCTCGTCGTCTGAGTCAATGTCGCCCATCTCAACAAGCGGATTCAGGAATCCACTGGAGACACCAGCGCGGGAAATTTCCTTGCCTCTGGAAAAGGTAGAGCACAGCTTGTACTCCGAACGGGACACCGCGAGGTCAACGGTCTCTGGCAGGAGTTCTTCCGTGTAGCTTGCGATAGAATAGGTGCGGGGGACTTCGAGGGGAACGAGATCCGCAAGCCATGCGAGATTGTCAAGGTTGAACACTCTATCCCAGATTTGTGGAGGCGTGTCCGTGACGGCGTCCTGCAAGAGGTCGCCCAAAGAGCCTCTGACGGGCCACTCATCCGTGCTGAGGACCTGCAAGACGGTGTTGGAGGATGCATGCAGCATACCATGAATCTTGAGGGCCATATTCTTGGTGATTGGGGCAAGGTGACCACGTCGTAGGATGTCGCCGACTGTCAGCTTGGGTGTTGCGGTTCTCCTGACAGACCCGAGATGCATCTCGAAGCGAGCCCAGATTCCGCTGACGTCGACTGGAGTATCGATGTGCTCTTCCAAGCCCAAAGCGGCGATGACTTTGGCGCACTCCTCCCACCCGTTCAAGGGCATCACGGCCAGGCGATCACCTGGTGCGAAGGTGATGCCAGTCTCCCGGATATCGAGCGTGACCATTGCGATTGAGCGTGAGGGATCAGAATCCACAAATGACCTGTTCAATACGCGGGTGACGTAGCGGCATTCTTCGAAAGTGCCGCGCATTTGGTGCGGCTCGATTGCCAGTTTGCCTCGATAGGGCTCGAGACGCTCCTTCATTGCCTCTGAGAACTGGCGATGGGTTTCTTCCCAAGGGCGTTCGCCGTCTGATGCACCCGATGCACCGTTGGTCTCAGTTCGGCCAGTCTTGGCTGCGACTTCGAGGATGCCGAAGACTTTGTAGCGGTGCACTCCCATGAAGCCACGTTCACCAGTATAGGCTTCAACGATACCATCGAGAACGCCCATAAGACGCGGGTCGCCTGACTTTTGGACGTATTCAGGGATGCGGTAGTGGTACTCGATAGCCGCAATGAAGGCGCGGAGGTTGGCCGGGAACCAAGCACGGAGGTGAACACCCTCGGCACCCAGGAAAGAGGTGTAGCTGCGAACAGGGTCAGTGACTGGTTATCAAAGCCCAAAGGTAATGCTCGACTTACTTATTTCTGCCCAAGAAAGCATCCATGACCAAGTAGGGCGGGAACTGCAGGCCTGAGGAGGCGGGGCATCGCTTTGAGAGAGGAGCGGAGAACTTGGCCCAGCGGACCCATTGCTGGACAGGCACGTAGTTTTCACCGGCGTTGGGATTTGTTGAAATGGAGTGGAAGGCGTTGGGCATGCGCTCGAGGATCTCTTTTAGGCGGATCATCTCGTGGAGGAGGCCTTCGTTATTGCGGTTCATGACATGTTCTTGGCATGCTGCGATAGCGTCGGGCCCGTGTTGGAAGGAAGCTTACCGACCAAGTTAGCAACGAAGTACCAAA